GATATAGATAGATGTAATTTCTATTTTTGGGAAAAGCGGGAGTTTTGTGTAAGTGTGCGGGAGGCGGGAGGTTTGGTAAAAAAGCAGGAGACTCCCGCCTAAATCGGGAGGGTTGGCAACCCTACTTAAGTCTTGAACGTTCGCGAACGTCCTTCGAGAATAAACGGGAACGTTCCATCATTTACAACACTACTTAAAGTCTGTTTTTTTTTTTAAAGATAAAAGACAAAATGACATTATGTTGGCAATACAATGTAAAATTGTCACTGCTTTTAAATTTTTTTATCCCATTTTGACGTTTAAAAATAACATTATTGAACGCATAACAATAAAGGTAAGTAGACGTTTATCACCTCAGTGATTTAAAAACATTTTAACTCACTCTCGGCATTTTAAGTCACTCTGCCCAACTAAAAATCTGAAACCTCCAATGATTTAAAATATTTACAACACACTCCCAGCATTTTTCCTTCTACTTTATTTTTAAAATTTTCACAAAATGGGATAAAATTTTGTATGCATCACGTGAGTTAAAATGTTTATTAATTCGAAGAAAATTAACCCACTCGCTAGGGCTCGTGGGTTAAACTTTCTTCTCATGAATAAAAATTCATTTAACTCATTTGGTGTATAAATAACTTTATCCCATTTTGACGTTTAAAAACGACATTATTGAACGCATAATAACAAAGGTAAGTAGAAGTTTATCACCTAAGTGACTTAAAATATTTTTAACTCACTCTCGGTCTTTTAAGTCACTCTGCTAGTATAAAAATCTGCTACAAATACAAACAAACAACTAGTTATACCCTAGCAACCACCAATTTCAATAATTAGCGCTTTCATAACCACTAAATGAATTCTTTTCATAATTTAATTCCTATTAAGTACCTTATTTTTCAAATGTCTATCAAAATGGGATAAAATTTTGTATAAATCACGTGAGTTAAAATATTTATTCATTCGAAGAAAATTAATCCACTCGCCAGGGCTCGTGGGTTAAACTTTCTTCTCATGAATAAACATTCATTTAACTCACTTGGTGTATAAATAACTAATATATAGAAAAGGCTTGTGTTGGCAACATAGTTACTAAATTTTTGACTTGGGGAATTATCTTAAAAAAAAAAAAAAACTTTACATCCCTAAACACATTCATCAATCAACCAATCTGTAAATCAATCTGAATTACATACAACAATAAAATGTTTCTATTTCTATTAAATCACCTTTGAAACCTCCTGAACAATACTTCAAACAATCAGAGGGAGTTCAAACTTTCAGGATTTATCGAGTAGGGACTTTTTATCGAAGAGAACAAACCGCGAACTTATCTGAGGCTCAGAAATGGAATTATGAATTTTCTTCTCACCTAGATGGAAAAAAATCATGTAAAAATTGCTATTGAATCACCTTTGAAAGCTTCTGAAAAATACTTCAAATAATCAGAGGGACTTCAACCTTTCGGTATTTATTGAGTAGGATCTTTTTATCAAACAAAACAAAACAAACCGCGAGTGGATCTCTGACCTAAAATGGAATTTTGCATTTTTTTTTCACTTAGATGCAAAAAAATCATGTAAAATTTCTATTAAATAACCTTTGAAAGCTTCTGAAAAATACTCCAAGCAATCAGAGGGGCTTCAAACTTTCAGGATTTATCGAGTAGGATTTTTTTCATCAAACACAAAAAATCGCGGACGGATCTCAGGCTCAGAAATGGAATTATGAATTTTTTCTCATACAGTGACCGCCAAAAAGTTTGCAACAAATAGGAATAGTTATTTACATGACTAGTGCGTTTATGAGCATGATTACAATAACGAGTGTGAAGGATTAGAACGACGAGGTCGTAGACCGAGTCGTTCTAATCACACGTGTTTTGTAGTCATGTTTAAACGCACGTGTGATGTACAACATTTTATCTACAAAGCGAAAAATAAGAATATTTTTCCAATTATTTTCGTTTATTAATAGTTGTCTACCTTCATTTTACCATTACAGGTTTACCTTTGACATTTGTCAAATCACCAAAAATAGTTGTGTTATAGACTCATAACCACGTCCATAACACCACTAGTTGTGTTATGAATTCATAACCTAGTCTATAACACCACTAGATGTGTTATGAGTCTCATGACGTTACTCAAATACTAGAAAAATGGTTATGTAAAAACGTCATAACCAAACGCTTGTAGATAAATTATTTTATTATTGAGATATCGAAAAAAATGTTATGTGGGATCGATTCAGCATACCCATCAACAAAAAAAATCACTGTTACAGATGTCATGTGACCACAGTCAATTTAAAAAGTTCGCCTCAAATTTTTAAAAAGTGGGGTAAGATGACCAGAAATCGAAACATTGTAGAGAGAAAAGTGGTTCAGGATTCGATTTTACGTCTATGTGTCAACTTTGAATAGGATACAAAGATTTTTTAAAAATATCAATTTTTTGGCCCGTTTTCTGGTAATTTGAAAAATATCAAAAGCTTTCCGCCTGGTGCACATAATTCGAAGTGAAACTAACAAAAAAAAATCCAGTGCGGTTATTCTGCTTAATTGTCCCGCGACAAATTGTAAAAAACCAAAAATTCATTTTCAGACGACTCTAATCTTGTTGCAATGTCCTACAGAAAACACAAATTTGGAATAACGAATTTAGAATTATCATGAAACCTTTCTAAATGATCCAATACCTCTTTTCTAAATTTAATCAAGCCAATATTTTTGCGAAATGTTTTCGATATTTTTCAAATTACCAGAAAACAGGCCAAAAAATTGATATTTAATAAAAATCCTTGTACCTTTTTAAAAATTGACACATGGACGTAAAATCGGATCCTGAACCACTTTTCTCCCTACAATTTTTCGATTTCTGGTCGTCTAACCCCACTTTTTACATATTTAAGGTGAACTTCTTAAATTTGCCGCCGTGACTGTGGTCGTATTACATCTGTCACAGTGATTTTTTTTGTTGATGGGTATGCTGAATCGATCCAATGTAACATTTTTTTCGATACCTCAATAATAAAATATTTTCCCATTTGTTGCAAACTTTTTGGCGGTCACTGTATATGTAGATGCAAAAAAAATCGATAATTAATTTGTGTTTAATACTTGTCTTTTATTACCTACTTTATTAATTGAAACCTTTAGAACAAAGTGCAATTTATACGATGCAATTTCAAGATAATTAAAAAAAGTTATACATTTTTCTAAAGTAGAAAAATCAGGCTTTCTGACGATGACAAAATATACAGGGTGTTCCATTGAAAAAAAGGCAGTAGTTTTATTTCCAAAAATCGCATGTCTGTAAAACTAAATTTCAGAAAGTTTCAGGATTTCTCAACACTGCCAAAAAAAAAATTAAAAAATCCTTATTCTCTTAGATCAAACCGCATATCGTTATCTTATCTCGTTTTGTAGATATTTACCTGTAAAATGTGTCAGTCGATCTCGAGGTTTATCTAAGGACACCCTGTATGTCAATGAGCGTTGGTTATAGTAACTGGCCTTTGATGTGGGTTTGGTGTTTCTTCTTAAAAAAAAACAACTGATTCTTTCCGAGATATTTCAGAGCCCTTATTATGGACCCACTGATAACGTCTTTGGCAAATTTATCCTGCCGGTAAAACTCAAAATTGAATTTAATTTTTGATTTTACCGGCAGTATAAATTTGCCAATGACGTGACCAGTGACCAGTCGGTCCATAATTTGGCCCTTAAGAGCTGCTTTATTTAAATTCAGATAAATTCACTGGTAACTGTCTACAAGATAAAGTTATGAATCTAGAATTCTATTCCTTGGCGGATAACTGGCCGATCAATAGGACTTATAGATTACTTTTTCATTCATCAGATTGCATTACCTCGCGTTTATCAGAAGGTGAATAAACCGCTCCTTAATGATGTTAACAATCATTCACAATTTAATTATAAACAATATCGGGTTTGTTCTTTTATTGTACAGGATGGCTATTTCATATTATTACGTAGGCACATATTTAAGCTATAAGTATCTAATCTCCTATGAGATTAATAGAATCTATTTGATGGAAATTTAAATTTTAAACTAACGAGAAAAACACACAAGGTTACTTCATCAGTTTATTGTGTGCTGCATAAAGTTTTTATAAATAATTTATTGTTCATTGAAATATGAATCTACTTTAGCTGTACGAAAATGATAATTTTGATGACTTACCTTTATAGTTTTAATACTATTTTTAATTTTAGGCAATCTTTAACAACATGCAATTAAACGTGTGCGATTTTTATTGCTGAATTATCAGAAGTCCTTGACTTATTTCCAATTTCAATGTTCAATCCTAGTTGGAGGTTCCAGTAATAGTAATGATTATTTACAGCAATATTCACAGTAGTCTCTATCCTACATCAAGTCGAAAATAAACATTTCAAAGGCATCTTAAAGCGTTAATGGCTCGTTTGCCCAAATCGTCGGAAAATTAACACTGAGATTTATTCTTATATAATTACATATTATAAAAATTGAATTTATATATTTAAACCTCAATAGCCTGTTCGAATTAAAAACATGCTTTTGCTTCAATCAATATAAATATAGAAAAAAAAACTGAAATATGGTATATAAGAATAACGGTTGGCCATAACTCGGAGACCATTAATCGTATAGCCAAGGGGAAACATCATATGATAAAAGTGGCTATGAAAAATATATAGTTGCAAAGTACGTTTTAGTCTTTATTTTTCTTTTACTTGTTAATTTTTCTGAAATTTGGAGTAGGTAATTTTGGTTGGATCTGGACTGGTATTTATCAAATCAAACTACTGAATGAAACAGGGCACATAGTGGTTTTCCATACTTTTGTATCATTGATATTGCTGCCTGTTTTCGAAATTCTAAAGAACCTAATTTGAAAAAAATCAAATTTTATCGCTCTATTTATTTATTATATAAATAGCCTAAAAAAACATATAGTTTTGTTGGTACCTATATGTATATTTCTTGTTATAGCCGATTTTGGAGTTTCCGCCAAGAACAAGTCAACTCTCCAGAAACATGACACGTTTATTGGCACGCCCTACTGGATGGCTCCGGAAGTGGTGCTGTGCGAAACTTTCCGAGACAATCCTTACGATTTCAAGGTAAGAAATTTGAAGTTTTTGGCACCGGCCACCCAAAACACATTTAAATTATTGCAACCGGTGTTTTAGAACAAGTCGATAAAATCCAGATGTGGCTAGAGTGAAGGCCAAAATGTGTTTTATCGTCACAGCCGGAAACTTCACGATTGTGCAATTTTATGATTTAATTCTTGTGGATACCTAGATAGTGAAATAGAATTGATTGCTAAAAATTTGAAAAATAATGATTTTTTATAAGTTGTTGGTATGCAATCAAAAATTAAATAAGATTATTATGTGCATTTTGACCCCCTTTCTCTTCTAGACTCCTTGCATTCTAATTCACAGGTGTTCAAAATTGAAATTTTACCTTTATTTACATATGTATTCTCATTTTTCTTTTTAGGTTGATATATGGTCCCTGGGTATTACGCTTATTGAATTCGCCCAAATGGAACCACCAAATCACGAGATGTCACCCATGAGGGTTTTGTTGAAGATCCAGAAAAGCGATCCACCAAAGTAAGTTTTAAAAAAATGACTTTTTAAAAATAAAATCTACTTTTATTTAGATTGGAACAACCGTCAAAATGGTCGAAGGAGTTTAACGACTTTGTTACGAAAGCCCTAACCAAAGACCCTATAAAAAGGCCGAATTGCGATGATCTGCTGAAGCACGTCTTTATTAATAGGACATTGGACGATAAACCGCTCAGAGATCTTTTATTAGAATACAAAGCCGAAGTTGTCGAAGAAGAATTGACTGATGACGATCCTGAGGTAAGAATCTTCAACATTCATGTATAGTTTTTCAAGTTGAGCACTAGTGATTAGGCTTAATTAAAAATATTCCAAATTGTGCTCATAAATTACAAGCGGGCCTTAATATTTATGCAGTGTAAATTAAAAATTTTACAAACCAGTAAATTAAACATTTGTAATGTTTGCTTTGTACATATTTTCATGCTTAGCGATGTAGGAAACATCGTAAAAATAAAGACAACTATCAGAGGATTGGTAAGTACTCAAAATTTAACTCGAGTGTGGTAGATTTGAAATTAATTAAAATAAAAATATCTATAGTCGATATGGAAATTATTATGTATTATCTTCAACTGTAACTAATTTTTATTTAAACAAATGTATGTAATACAGTAAAGTTTTACTGCATTTTTTCTATTGGATTTGGTAAATTAGTAAATACTTCTCTAAAGTAGGTAAAAGCTATATCATCTTATCATTTAACATAGAAAATAAAAGTGTGTTAGTACCCAAAAAAGTACCTAATTGTTGGTCAACACTCTACTGTCTAATAACAATTGTAAATGGCTTAACTTCGATGTTATCACAGCTTTATTTGTTATGCATGCTGCTCTTCGGGTACTCCTGCACTTCCCATTCACCTTACCCAGGTAAGATTTATTGACTGACAATTTGGCCAATCAGTATTTTTGTTTGTTTTCATCCTTCACTGCATTGTTCTGTTTATTTAGTCGAAGCAAGATCGCTTAAGCGTCAAAAATATTCACCAATGTGACTTGTAGATAAGGAAACTGAATTATGATTTTATATCTGTTACTCAAAAGTAACACTCTATTTTTTGGCTATAGCCAGTGTTTTATTGAAATAATTTTTAAATGTAAATATATTTTGTCAGTTTTCATTTTATGTAATTTTTTTAGGACAATCGAACCTCTCGAGTGCGCCTGGACATAGAGGAAGACTCAGCATCGATTCAAAGCAATGAAGTTGATCGTAAAGGTAAACATTATTTTATTTTTAATAATTATGTAAATGTACAAGATATCAAAATGCGGTTTGCACCAGACAAGATTTCATGATCAATATTGAATAATGTGAGAATTATTCTTGGTAAAATCAAAAAATAAAAGAAAGCAAGCAGAAGGAACAATATTTATTGATGTATCAAGTAAAGATTAAGAATAACGGAAGAAACGACAGATGAAGTAATATCCCTAGTCTATAATCAAAAATATGTTTATCACGAAAAAAAACTCCCAAAGAAAGAAAAATACATGATGCTTTTTGGATCTACATAATATCAGTATTAATGTCGAAGACGGCGCTGATTTGACATTTTGTGATTTCACTAAACCTTGTTGTTGTTCATGTATTGGATCTTCTATTGTATTGGATTATATAACTTGGAACCCGAGCTCCCCATAGGAAATAGCGATCATGTCGTCATCATTGGGAAAAGTCAAGTAAAATGTGAACTGAGTTCAACGAAAACCGTATTAAAACGCAGTGCCGACTATGAAAAAATCAATAGTTTTCTGGCTGAGCAAAATTTTGCTGCATCGGGTGATGCATTCAACACGTGCATGTCAATTTTAAATAATGCTATAGACAAGTTCATTCTGTTTAAAACCATGTAAAACAAACCCACTGAAACCATGACTTAACCAGTTCATAATTGAATAAATAGAAAAGAAACGAGGTCTATGGGACAAATACAAAAAATCAGCTACAGACGACAGTTACAAAAAATATCGCGAACAAAACAACTACCTTACAAATGTAATAAGAAAGTCGAGAAAAGACTATGAATGCAACATTGCCTCTCAGAGATCAGATAAAACATTTTTTAAGTATGTGAATAAAACACTTTCATCTAAAGTTTCAACAATAACATTAAAGAATGAATCAGATGAACTTGTTTATTTATTTATTTATTTATTTATATATACTCATTTAAAACACAAGAATTTTTGTAGTGACATTAAAAGAGTGCTTGCTGCCAATACTAACCTACATACATATCTATGCTAACATGAAAAAACAAGTGAACAAACAAAAGCAAATAAAAAGAGCAATAACATCAACATACAATATAGTAAAACAATTTAAAAAGTAAAAAACTAAAAGTTGGCTTCAAAGGCAAGTTTGATCTCACTTACCAAGGAACTAAAAAAGTCTATATCACATTTTTCTATCACAATATTACATTCTCCCAACATTTCAAACTTATTCAAACTTATTGGTAAAAAAACAGTCCGAACTTGCTAATCCTTTGGGACGAAAAAATTAATACTATTTTTCAAGGAACAATCTTTGTACTTAATGCTATTTATTATGTTATAAACAAATAGGGCTGAATGCATATTTCTTCTATTCCTCGGCCGAGATAGACTAAAACAAGTCCACATGCTATAATAGGAGATCATACATAGGAAAACATTAAACTTCTTTATATGTATAGAGGAATCTCACGAATCTTTTTTGAACTTTTTATCAGATCACTGCTGGATTCGGCTTTCGGCGCCCATACGACAGATGCATATTCTAAGTGGTGTCTTACTAGTGCATTGTACAGGGTCATTTTTTATATTTTCCCACCCCCCTTAACTTTTTTGTGCCACTGTGTATAAAAAAAATTTAAATAGGAAAGTTGTCGTGCTTGAAAAATAGTTCTCAGAAAACATAGTTTTGTTCATACAGGGTGTTGCAAAAAGTTTAACAAACAAAAAAATATATTTTTTTAAATGGGACACTCTGTATATTATGACATTTCTGGATTCTGCGGAAAATTCTAGACATATTTCATGTATGATGTCATTTACCTATCTTGAACTGTTTCGGAAATAATGACAGTAGAAAATTGACTTTTTTGCAACTTTGATAGGCTGTTAAACCTAAACTGTTAATTTTACAGCAAAACCGATTTATTATAACGTAAGTATTATAACGTACTTATTGCCTAATTATACTGCGTACGGCTAGTCAGCATCAGTTCGGAGGCCATGGGTTTATGGGTTCCTTGTATACATCTTACCTTTGGGCGCCACCAAGTTAATTGTGACTTAACTAGGAAGATTACTTAATGATGTCATAAACAAAACCTGTGCAATTGGAGAGCTTAGCAATAAAACAACTAATTAGGTACAATAATGTATCTGGCTTTCTTTATTAAAAATAATAACAATATTAAATAGGGATAGCCAGGACGTTGTTAAAAATGTGTATAGATTATGGCTTGTACCAATTGATAAATATTTGATTATAAAAAAAATATGAATGTAAATAATATACAGTTGGGTACATATGGGAAAATTCTTTCCTATTTTTGAAATAAAATTGATATTTTCGATTTTCCATTTAATGGTATGGGTAAAATAAGTAGTTTTATTATTTTTTTTTCTCTGATTTGCTTCAAAATCGACATGTAGAGTTCTTTTTGGATTCTGAACAACTTTTTCTCATAAAATTTTTTGATATCTTGCCAAATTTACCGATTTTTCGATATCAGTATCAACTTTTTTCAAAATTCCCGCTAAACCGGTAATCGCATGACATGTGTCATAATCGATTTTTTGGTTATCGAACATGCCCTAACGATCCCCAAAAAAAGTTTTTTGAAAAAAGGAATAATTAAGAATTTTCATATATGTAACCAACTTTATGGCGCACACTGTATATATGAAACAGTTTTAACTGTTTGTTTACACTTGTGAAAAATTAAGACCACAATTTCAGTTACAATCATTCTACTAAGAGGCAAATTTAACACCAGAAAGGTAAACATTATTATTAGGGCAACCTCAGGGTAAAATTCTAGAATTTTATTTAAGGGGCACGTACTGACGTAATTCAGTGTCAGGTGATTTATATAAGATTTGCCTAAATAGTAAAAAGTGCAACTTACATGTATACAAGTGTTAGTTATCTTCAAATGTATTTGTAAAATCAGAAGTTCCTAAAGTGAGGTTATCTACATGTTTGGTCCCACTGTAGATCCAGATAGAAGCAGTTAGCAGTTCTAAGTTTGTTCCAGACTATGGTATGGTGAGTGAGTCCTATGGCAGACCTATCCACGTTTTATCTGTTTAACGTAGAACTCAACGTGGTTCTATCAGAGTGGTACCAAAAGGGTTGCTGAAGTGAAGCTACCAAAGCCCCAACTAAGAGCAATCTAGATCCAGCCTAGAATCTCTCTAGATACAGCCTAGGAGCTGTCTAGATATAGCCTAGAATCTTCTAAGTACAGCCTAGGACCTTCTAATTACGGCCTAGGACCCTATAACGATGTTCTCATAAAAAACAGATCGAGGCCCAAACATTAGAAATAATCTTACCTCTAACTGAGGGATGCTCTAGGCCAAAGGTGAAGTCTTAAAGTTCCAAAAGCTGCTCGGAACGATCCTATTGAAGAAATGAAACACGTGTTGTAGGTTAATAATCCTGAAGAAAATCTCAAAACTTACCGAAACAAAATCCAAAATGACCAAGGGACAACTCTAGACAATGATCAACAAGAAATTAGACTAATTCGAGTTTCCCTGGCACAAAATTCCAAAAAGTCTCGCCTAAAAATAATTAGGGCGAAGACCGACCTCACAGTATCAGGTCTCAAGATCAAAAGGGCAGATCCTTCCTTTTAGATTTGGAAAGAGGGCTTCCATTTGTCAAACTTCTAATTTTGACATTGATGAAAATTATAGAAAAGGGCGTGTTAAGTTACATCCCAAAAATACGAACTGAGAAGTGGGTTGTGTATAAATGACTCCAGATAACCGGTGAATGTTGAAAATTGCCTATAGAACCTATATCAAAAAGTAGAACAGGTCTTAAAGAAAACGCCTAGACAGCGACAGCTGTTGAATGACAGATGTAAGATGAAACTGAAAAATCGAAAAAAGTAAACAACAACTATCCTAACCTCAGATTATTTATTAATTAGGCAATCCAACGATGTGTCAAATATGGCCGACTGTTGGCACCAGGCACCCATATGCCCATAACCCTAATAACGTTTTCCATTTGTCGAACCAGTGCAAAAAAAAATGTATCCTTATCCTTAAATGTTACATGCTTTTAGAAAAAGATGCGGATACACTCAGTGCGCACTGATCGTCATTAATTTCTTGTGTCATCAGTCATCGTCCCTTGTGTTTACCTTTGACGTTGGAGATTTTAAAGCTGGATTTATACAGCAAATAAAATAAAATAAGATAAAATAAGAAATAAGAAATAACAGTTAATCTCATGAGATACCCTTAAAGTGTTTATACAGAAAATAACAAATAAAATAAGAAATGCATTAGTTATGTATTTGTTATTTTATCTTATGTTATCTTATTTTATTTTATTTGCTGTATAAATCCAGCTTAACATTAATTCCAGCTTTTTACAAATTTCCTTTCAAAATATTTCTAAATTATTGTGAGTTGACATTATCATTAAGTTTTGTAAGCAGCTAGACTCTTATAGGCCCTCATTTGTGCATTGGTGTAAAAGCTATGCGTTAGAACAATATAGCTAATAATATTCATTGAAGTTATTGGGGGAACACTAGCAAATCCAAAAGCGGCCTCAGGACAGCTTTTCCGCAACTCGCACAAATATGGACTTTCTCTGAAAGCTATATTTCAATAGAAATGAAAGTTTCAACTTGTGAAAATATTTTCAATGTCTTTAAAAATGTTTATTTGCAATCATATATGTAATCTTGTCATTACTGACTTTTTAAAAATTTGGAAGTGACACTTTACCTGTGTCACTTCCCTCTTCGATTTCCCTCACCGATTTCCCTATTCGACTTCCCTCACCGATTTCCCTCACCGATTTCCCTCACTCTAATTTATTTACCTTTGCTGGCAACAATTAGAACATGTCAGATAAAAACGTCAAAGCAGTAAATGACACATTTTGGCATGTTTGTTTTATTTTTTTAATATTAAAAAAATTGATTGACTAATCATAATTAATGGTGTGCTTGCAAATAAAATAGTATACAAACC